TGGCAAGTCACATTGGGTCATATTGGCCTACGAAGCCCCCTGGAATGAGGACAGGGAAAACAAAGGCAGCTTTGGGCACTAGAAACACTTCCTCACCAAAGGGTGCCAGCGAAGTCACCATGGTAATCTGCTGCTCCTGTTTTCACCACAACATGAGCGACCCCTCCCTGCAATTCCTGAAGCTGTTCATCTAACCTATGTGTTACTTCTTTCAGGTCCTTCTAGAATTCTGAGATGGGGAAAGACTTAGGGTCCACAGTGGAGGTATTACAGTCAGGACTCCTCTGACAAAGGCCTCTAAAACAGAACAAAGAAAGGCTAGGAAGGACCATCATAAATGCAGCTGGTGCTGACTTTATGACACAGTGACATCATCGCATAACTCTTTAAAGTGCCTAAGATCTCAAACAACTTTATCACATAGCCTGGCATACAGAACTGTTCTTACAGATGTACCTGCCACAGGGGAATAAAACCCACAGGGAAAGTCACTCAGCTGACTATGCCCCTCAGGCTGCAATGCCCAGCCACAAAGAGGTCCCATTTTCTTGTTCTCCCTCTCTCCCCCAAAACACAGGAGTAGCACCACAGCACGATGGGCCAGTCTAGAAAACTGCCCAGAAATTCTGCCTAGGTTTCTCCTTCTTTTATTTCTTGTCTATAAGCATCTTTGGCATGGAAGGAGACACTGGTGTCTCTTAGAACTGCTGGCAACAGCTACCATCTTCCCTGTCTCGCAAACCAACTGCCCTGATTTCCAAACTGTGAAAAAATTAACATCCTATTGTGTTGTCTTTCCTCAAAAGTTTTAAGTTTAAATTTTGAGTCCCTGTTTATTAACTGCAAAATAAATGTAATGCACTGGAGAAGAAACGGTTCCTTTTTTGGGTCTCCCTGTAATACAGGAGCTACTTGGGAAATATTTATAGTTTTGATCATCCTTTAATAATTATTATTCTTCAAATTTTAGGGCAAATATGAACTAAAAGGAGAGTCATATGCCATTTTGTGACATGAAGTAATCAACTTTAATAACATAATAGTCATTTATAAAGATGGAGTTACTACATTTATTTGAACTAGCAACATTAATCCTATTTTCACCCCAGGACACTAACTCTTTTTGTTTGGATCCCACTGTTAGGTTTAAATAGTAGAGAAGAAGCAGAGAAATAAAATAATTATTTAGGTAATTACCTAGGAACAGAAGCTGAATTTTTATATGAAATCTCCAGGCAATTGTGCCTGAATAGAGTTCTGTATTGTGGGCTTTAAATCCTATCATATTTCAAATAATTCAGTGGCATAAAGATTTCTGGACCATTAGTTTTCAAAATGTAATTCTGTAGTTGGAAAAAAATAATAGTCTTTCGAATTAAACTCTTAAATAAAACAAATTTCCAACACTGAATTGAGAAAAAAGTCAACCATAACTCTTCTAATGGAATTTATTATTATATGGGATTTTAATTGTATTAGAACAGACTGTGAACCTGCTTTAATTTGCTGCTCTGCTCTTTGGCTATTCATAAAGCCTCAGAGAAAAACACTATACATATATATTTGATCTCTCTTCCCCAACTCCCATATCCACCAAGGAATCATAAAACATATGGTATATAAGATTGAGACTTTGATAGGCTACTAAATTTCTTCAAGCAAAACTGTACTGTCCTTCTAACTGAATCTAAATTCACTCACCAAGATTCTCAAGTGAATCAGTGTTACAAACCCACTCACTTCTCTCTCACTCACTCACCTTCCAAGATCCAGATGTTTTCTCCAGATGTGGAGAATACTGGGGGCTCAACCATAACTCAGGTATAGCAAATTTCAGGACTATTCATTGCTCCCCAAAAGATGATATTGGGTATGGGAGGGCAGTGAAACCTAAATTCAAGACTCAAAGCCCCAGAAGAACATCCAACATCCAACCTGATGTCCACATGTCATCCACAATGTCACAAAACAAGGCTCACTCTAGGTTCAATCCTTCAGGAATCTGAACCCATATCCATTCCAAAATTACTGGGCATCCCTTATCTAGATATACCCCAAAATCACTCCCACTGAGTGACAACCATGTTATATTTCCCTCATCCATTATCTCATCACTCAAGACTCATCCTCACCTCATAATGCTCCATCACTGACCACAATGCTAACTCTCCAAACAGATGAAAACACTATCTATCCCATCCATGCTCTGTTCTCCATATATTCCATTCTATTCTTAATATGTTCAATTACAAATATGAGGGACCAGATCTCCCACTGCTATTCCACCAATTAGACTTTCCTCCAACATGTCTTATGTTTGTATGTTATGGTCACGCTTGAGAGATGCAACCACAGATAGAACATTACTCAACAATCCTCTTAAGCACTATCAGGTGTAATTCATGTCTAAGGAGGAAAGTATATGCTCAACAGAAGGTTTTGCCAAAGGGGTTTGGGGGGGAGGGGTGGTCCACCCAAAGTTAAAATGGAAGAAGAGATTCCCTGTGACATCACTGTGAAACTGCTGTCTCCAAAGTTACCAACGATCTCTTAATGGCCACAGTCACACATAGCCAGAGCTGAGACACTCAGATAATTACCATTTTGGGCACTGACTGAACTGACAACAGATTTAGTCACAGAGGGAGAGATTACATTGCATGACTATGAATCAGATCTGAGTGTGTGAGGGTGTGCTTGGGTGTGGAGCCCCAGAAGTTACTCTGGATTTGAGGGGAAGGATGAATAATTGGGAGTTGGAAGCCAGGAGTGTAGGACCCCTGAAGGAAGAGAAGGATCTTTAGAGTAGGGGGCTTGAAACTTGATCTATGAGAGCATGGAATAAGAGGGTGCAGGCTATTGTGTTCCATAAGTGCCTCAAGCCTTGAGACTGGGTGTGTTTCTGGACCTAGCGCTATCCCACACATTCTATTCGCCAGGGAGCAATGAGGAAAGAACCTGTCAGATAGCATACATCAAAACTGCATAGTTTTGTCCCATTGTTGTATCTGAATGGTAGTCTCCATGTGCAAAAAAAAAAAAAAAAGTAGAGGGCTGTGTGAATGCAGACTCAATGAGTGGCTAGGGAGCAATGGATAAAGCACTCACAGGACCTGGAATCAGACTGGAGTTCAGAATCCGGCCTCAGATATTTATCAAACCATGTCACCTTCGGGCCAGTCACTGTCTGCTTCAGTTTGCCCACACGTAAAGTGGGGATGATAACAGCACCTCTCTTACAGGGTTACTCTAAGTTTCACTAACTTCAAAGCTACTTTGCGAATCTTAAACACTATTATAAATGGTATTATTAAAGAGCACAGTCAAAATCGAAACTTAAGCCCTCTGATTCCAAGTAATGTTCTTCTCCTAAGGTCCTTTTTGCTCTAAAATGCTACACAACTGTTTAATTTCAGAGCTGGTATAGACAGCCACATTAACCTGGTAAATGGATTTTTATGAATTATCCTTTACACAATATATCAAGACAGAGTAACAAGCAACAAAAACATATTGAACGTGACATCCATACAGCTGGAACAAACTTGGGGCTTTAATTTCCCAAAATGAATGTGCACTTACATCTCCTATTACCACTAAACATTCAAGTTATGTGCTTATACCAAACTAATTTCTCTGTTCATCTAAGGGTGTGCTTCATTTTTAAGTTCTCTCAAAAGTGTTCCCAAAGAAAGAATGGGAACCTAAAAGCTGAGAAAACTCTTGATACAAAGTGTCATTTTTAGTACTGCATGTTTGGTGGAAGTTTTAAGGGAGTGAATTTTTTTTCCAAAGGTTGCTTTTTTGTAACTGAGAGTAGCATTATAAATAGAGGAACATGTAGATAGACACAAAATGGCACAGTACAAACCTAGCGTCCATGCTTGGGCAAGTCACTGCACCTCTGGGGGCCTCTTTAAGAAGCCACAACTACTTGAGCATGACCTACCTCACAAGGCTGTCAGTAGGCTCAAGTGACATGATTGCAAAGCGGCTTTCTAGTGATAAAACACTACGTAGGTGAAAGCTAAGACTACTTTCAAATGTGTGTACCTCCCTCCTCCCATCACTGCAGAGGCAGGGGATGATGGATTGCAAAAATTGTCAGATACAGTTAACATGTTGCTTAGTGTTGCTGAGCTGCTTTTTAAATTTTTGTTACAAGGCATAGCTTCACAGGATAAAAAAGAGGGGAGGGGTATATTGAAAAGTAAATGGATGTAAACAGTATAGATTAAAAATTAAAAAAAAATTAAAGTGAATATGCCCTTTATATATTAATACAAAGTCACAAACTAATATGTGAACTGAGTTCAGTTCAACTCCTTCATAAACCTTCTGAGAGCATATTTAAGATTTTAGAAAACCTCGAATTAACACTTCGGTATTGCTGCTTGATAACCATTTTGCCAGGTTTTCCCATCAAATGGATCAGTCTATCATAAACCTTCAGGAATACTTCATTAGGTTATAGTAAGTGGTGTATATATATGTGTATGTATAGAACTATCCTCTCTGCTTTGTCAGAGCAGAAGTGGGTAGCGGCACGGGTACCTTAAGAGTCCCCAAAGTTCTGCAGCCCCTTGGGATAATCAGTACTATGCAGAGAAGAGAGTGCTGCGGCTCTAGGATTCTAGAGACCTAGGTTCCAGTATTAGCTGTGCCTGAGCTCTTACAGGCCAGTGCAAACTACTTCCACCACTCTGGGTCTCATTATCTTCATTTGTGAAAGGGAGGGGACTGAAGGAGGTGACCTCTATTTTTTTTTTTAACCTACTCCGCATTTAGTTTGCCAAACTACAGTGATTTTGCCTTAGAGAGCAAAGAACAAAATCTAGGTGGCATTAGGAAGGATTCACTTCCCCCTTTTGTAAATATATAGGATTAGAGCTGGGGCAAGGGACTTTAGAGTCCTTCATAGTATAGAGGAGGAGTCTGTAGGCCAGAGAAATTAAATGACTTCATCAAAACCATCCAGCTAATCAGTAGCAGAGGCAGGATTCGAATGTGGGTCCTTTGAGTTTATTCAGTGCTCTTTCAAACTATACCAAACTCTGAGATAAATGTCTCCTAGTATACAAAGGAAAACTGGACTCATCATATATATATCTCACAAATTAAAAAGAATGTGTTTTTGGTAGTGAGTTGTGATACTGAATTTCACCTTAACCATTATTCATTTTATTGTTCATTGCAGAAAAACAAGACATTTAAATAAAATATTCCAGAAAAAGGATACTATGATTTACAGTTCAAGTGTAAAGCTTCATCATAATTTTCCACCGTGTTCTGCCAGTGTACACTACATCACTGATCAATCCATAATCACTCTGAGAGTAAAATAATATAGCATGGTGGTCTTCATAAATATTTCTTGTGTTCAGTTTTGCTTTTTCACATTCAACATAATGTTTGACAATCATTAAAAATATATAATTCTATTATTTCTTACATAAAGCAAATACAAAGCAGTGAAACATACAAATTAAACATAAATCTAACATTTATGAAAAACAGCAACTTTTATACTGAATAGACATGCTGGAAAAAAACTAGCAGTTAATTTTACACATTTGTCACTCTTCATTCTGTACACAAAAAGGATACTATAAAAGAAGATAAGAGGGCTGCAGACAAGATAGTGCTTCTTTTTTAACAAGGTACAAACTTTAGAACGAGTAAAATCAAAACTGACTTTATCCCTATAACTTAAGCAAAGTGTCTCATGTAAGAAATAAATTTCCTTTCTAAATGTCACGAGTATCCAAATTTTCATTTAATACTGTCTGTGAATTTCCATTTATACATATAGGAATCAAAATATCCAAAATACAGATTTTCACATCACAAAACACAACCTAGTATTTTAAATCACAATTCTGCTGTTGTGTTTAGCCTACTGATTCCTTAGATAACTTCACAAACATTTATTAAAAACAGAGAATGTACTTCCTATGGATCAAGTGAGGCTTTATTAAGGTGGTAGTAAATGTATTTTTGGGGATATCGCAGGGGTAGAAGTTTTCAATGCAAGTATATTCAGAAGATTTGCTGTTCAAATAATATTTTTTCAAAACCAGTTGGAGGAATATGATAAAAGTCACTGAACTGACAATCCAAAATCGCACTGTCATCAACTAAAGGAAAGAAACAGATATTAAATTAGAACAGATTATCTTAATATAGTTTAAGCATAACATAGTATAAATGACCATGAAATAAAATAATTATTTCCTATGATGACAACATTAACAGGAAACAAAAGGTATGGAATCTGTTTTGATTTGTAGAATAAATCTTTAGGAACACACAGGAGCAGAACCACAAAACCTTTGCACATATTAATATTCTAATCTATAAAATCAAATAAACTTTTTAAAACTTTTTAATTGATATCTTCTTTTCACCATCATTTCCCAAAATATAAACTTACTTTCAAAAGCGGCATTTAAACTGGCTGTAGCCAGTGATGGCTAAAAACAAAAGGGTCCTTACTTTGTGAATCGTAGCTGGGTGAGTCTAATGTTCTAACATCTGTGGTAATGAACAGACAAGACATGGATAAAGGTAAAACAGGGAAAGTGACACAAAGGTGGGCAGGAGGGATTGGCAGCATTTTCAACCACATGAAAAGGTATGTGATGTGCAAACAGGAAAATCTGCCTTCTGCATAAATTAGAACTGAACATACTGCGAAGTCATTTGCATCCTGGTGGAGCTCTAAGCCCCAGGATTACATTTTCTACATGTTCCCTTTTGATATCTTCCCACACTTCTATCACTTTCACAGACAATAAAAATGAAGGAAATGAATTTCAAGATCGTACGTGGCTTATACTACATCTATTACTCAGAATGAGATACTAGTGGTAACAACTGAGGTGAATTATATATTATATTATACATACGTGTTAAAAATACTAAGCATTCACTTATAAACCACAGATGTTTCCACAATTTAGAGGGTATTCCCCCTCTTTTTAAAAACTGAAATAATTTATAATTTTTTTTAAAATGTCTACTATTATGTAAATTACTGTCACAAGTCACAGCTGCGTCACATTCACTGAGTTGGAATGGTTTTAGAACACAAAAAGGACTTCAATCAATCAGTATATATTGTCCACTTGTCTTTGACACACATTCAAGTCTAGCTGGAGAGACTGAGAAAGTTTACTTTCAAAAGTAAAACTCTGAGTTTTATTATAGAGAGTAGTTAGGATGAAGCAATTAAAATACTTTTTTCTTGGACAGAAAAACACATTTCAGTTTACATGGATGACAGACACATAAGGAAAAGTAGCAAGGTGAAGATGCTAGAGAGCTGGCCTTCGAGTCACTTAGACCTGGGTTCAAGTCTTAACCAACATATATTGGCTATCTGGCCTGAAGGAAGTCATTGAGCCTCTCAATCAATCAATTAACCAGCATTGATTAATGTTTACTATATACCAGAGAGGAGACAGCTGGGTGGCTCAGGGGATCATAAGTGGATCAAAAGCACAGGGCCTGCAGTCAGGAAGACCTGAGTTCAAATCCGGCCTCAGACACTTCCAAGGTGTGTGACCCTGGGCAAGTCACTTACCTTCTGTTTGCCTTAATCCACTAAATAAGGAAATAGCAAACCATTCCAGTATCTTTGCCAAGAAAATCTCATGGATAGTACGGTTCACAGGGTCACAAAGAGTTGGACATGACAGAACTGAACAAAAAAATGTACCAGATACTGTGCTAAACTCAAGGGATATAAAAAAAAAATTTTTATGGCAAAAATTGTCCCTGCCCTCAAGGGATTTATATTCTAACGAAGGGACAAAGCATACATAAATAGATATATATGTGTTACATACAGAGCTGATGGAAGGTGTGTTAAGAGGGGAAGGCACCAGTACGTGGGGGACCAGGAAAGGCCTCAGGCAGAAAGTTTAGCTTAGTCTTGAAGCAAAGCAGATATTCTAAGAGGTGGAGATGAGTAGGGAGAACACTGCAAACACAAGACGGCAGGCAGCTCAAAGGCACAGGAAGGAAACGGAGCATCGTGTGTGAGGAACAGAAAGCAGGGGAGTACAGATGGAAGATAGGAGTGAGTGGCTTTCTGTTGCTGCGAGGATCAAACACAAAAGCCTGCTGGATGTTCAGAGCCCCCTCCCACCTCTCCAGTCTTCTTAAACTCTACCCGCTCTCACATACCCTGGGATCCAGTGACCTTCACTTCCTCTGGTTGATTCCCCTGCCCAAAGTCTTTCCTTCCTCGTCCCCACCTCCTGGTTTCCCTGACTTCCTCAAGTCCCAGCTAAAATCCCACCTTCTACAGGAAGTGGTTCCCGATCCCCCTTAAACCTAGAACATTCCCTCTGAGATGACTTCCACTTATTTTTTCTATAGGTTGTCTGTCCATCGCTGTTTGCACATCTTCTTTCCTACTAGACTGTGAGCTCCTTGGGAGCAGGGACCATCTTTTGTCTTTCTTCGTATCCTCAATACTTGGCACAGTTACTGGCATACTGTGGTGCTTAATAAATGCTTACTAATTGACCTGAGGAAAATAATGGGTACAAAAAGCTTGGAAAGAGAGAAAGCAGTCAGGTTGTGAAGAACTTTAAATGTCAAACAGAGGGGTTTATATATGATCCCAGTGCAAAGAAGAGGCCACTGGAATTTACTGAGAGGGGCAGGGGGGTACGTGTGTGATGCAGCCAGACCTGTACTTTTAGACAAATCATTCTGGCAACTCTGTGAAGGATAGACTAGAGTGGGGAGTGGGGAGGCAGGGAGATCAGTCACAGAGCTCCTGAAATGCATGTTCTGAGCTCGGGTAGCAGCTGCGTGAGGGGAGAAAAGGGCAAGTATCCAGGAGACATGAAGAAAGAGACAGGATTTGGTAACTGACTGGACATGTGGGTAACAGTGAAGATTCAAGGATGACACTGAAGTGACTAGGGGGATGGCAGTGCCCTTAATATTAACAAAAGTTCAGAAAGGGGGTAGGGTTTAGGGGAAAACCAATGACAAGTGTTTAATAAATACCTACTATGTGTCAGGCATTGTGCCAAGTGCTTGGGGACATAGATACAACCAATGAAACAATGCCTATTCAGGAGTTTAAACTCTAATGGAAAAGACAAGGACATATATAAGCATAAAGAGAAAAAATGTAAAGAGAAAAACTACAAAGCAGTTTTAGGGGGAGGGCAGCAATGAAGAGACCAGGAAGCAGTTCCTGTAGAAGGTGTCTGAGCTGTATCTGGAAGGAACAGAGACACCGTAAGAGGTGGAGGTACACAGGGAATGCGGCCCAAGCATCCCAAGCTGGGGACAGCCAGTATAAAGCACTGAGACAGGGCTGGAGAGCTGTGTGAGGAACAGAGACAAGGCCAGCAGACCGGGGAGTACAAGGAGGCTGGATAATTGGTCGCAGAGAGGTGTGAAGGGCTTTCTTTAAAAGCTAAACAGAGTTTATGTTTATTTCCAGAGGCAACAGGGAGCTACCAGCGTTTACTGAATAAGAGAGTGCCATGGTCAGATCTCTACTTCACAAGCAACACTGTAAAGGATGGACTAAAGTGGGAAGAAACCTGAGGCCAATTACAAGGCCACTGCACTGGTTCAGCTGAGAGACGGCAAGTGCCTGGACTAGGATGGTAACTGTATTAGTAAAAAGAGGTCAGATGAGAGATGTTGGAGAGGTAGAAACAGCAAGATCTGACAATGTCTGGATACGTGAGGACTCAAGGGTAGCACCAAGATGACAAGCGTGGCAGACTGGAAAAAAGGTGATCCCTTTAACAAAAATACAAAATTTTGGAAAAGGGGTGGATTTGGGGGAAATATAAAGAATCCATCCTGTTTGGGACACGCTGAGTCTGAGACATTTCCAAGACATACTGTTTAAGATATGCGAGAGGCAGCTGGTGATGCAGGGTTGGTGCTTCAGGCAATTGTCTAAAAAGTTGCAGAACAGTTGCCAACGTGCATTGTAGGCATTTTCTCATTAGGTTCTCCCTGTCTCAAAGAAATTATCAGTCTAGACCTCCATTCCAAAAAAAGGACACCACAAAATCTTACTTCAAAAGCTCGTGATTTCATTGGCATGGGCACTTCAATACAAACAGACCATAGTACCTTTACATCTTAGTGAATACAAATGCCTTCTGAGTTTCTGTGGCCAAAGAAATCCATCCCCTGAGGGCAGTGGCTAGTCACTTGATGAGGAGCCTCTTGGCTCCTCACAGTCACACCCAATCCAGTCTGTCATTGGACCCTTCCACTTGAAGCTTTTCCACCCTGGTAAAACTTCAGGGCTTATGCTCTTCTTACATAACTGTCAATGACACAGAGCCATCCCTACCCCAAGATGAAGCCTTGTATCAGGGCTAACGGAGGATCAAATAATTACACATTTTTATCCCAACACAGCCAACCTAAGAAGCAGAATTTACAGCAGGGAAAAATTTATTCATTGTGATTGCTTATAAAATTAATTCTAAATGAACGATATCAGGTTTGCCTTCCCAGGTTAAGCATTCTGAATCTTAAATCACTTTCCTATCATACAAGCACATGGAGCTCTTGGGATGGAATTACTTTTGTGTTTCTCCAAAAGACAAGAAAAGTATTTCACACAAATCTAGTTTAAGCTCTCATTCTTGCACTCCAAAGACAAACGCTTTTGGACTGATTTTCAGAAGTAAGTTAAATTCACTGAAAACCTTTATTGGTGAAAAAAGACCAATGATAACTCTAGCTACTGAGTAAAGTACAAATATTCACTGTTCTGACCCATATGATGAAACATTTACATGTCACTATGCTTATTTCCGGTGACCTTGTCATTAAATTAATATAACTAAAAGTGTTAACTCGATAGACACTGCTCCAAAAATCTCTTAAAATGTTGTTTTCTTTATGGCCCTAATCTAACAGACTCAAAGGAACAGGATTATACAAACCACTCTTTTTGGAATTACTAGGTCCTATGCCACAAAAGCAAAAAAAAAAAAAAAAAAAAGTATATCTGATTTAAATTAATCCCACATAAAATGAAGATAAATATATAGTCAACTCTTAATTATCCAAGATAATAGGGGAAAGCATTAGTACAGGAAAAAAAAGTTTAAGTGTAAAATCTACTTGAGAC